ATACGATTCATCTCAACTTACTCCTAATCAAAGGCGTGCGCTTCTTTTTAATATTGGCCAATCATTTGAGGTTTCCAAGCACGTTCAAAACGTCGAATTATTCGTAAGGCCTCTGCTACAGTATTACTATCTTCCTTACTCACATAGAAATGCGCCCCAACGTTCCAAGAACCATGATTGTCCCGAACATACAATGTAAATAAGCGCCAATCATACTTATTCGTTTTGTGTGTGGAATCTATTAACGTTAACCATCCAAACCGCCGAAGATTTTCTAACTGACTTGGATGAACAAAAACGAACCCACGAGTCGATTGATAAAGAATTTCAAAACATTCTACTTGGTACCCTTCATTTTTTAAAAAAACTGTAGATTCTTCTATATCTAACTCCATGCTTTTGTTACCGATAAAGTGTGCGTTTTGTGACTTGCGAACTTTATATTTAATATTAGAAACCTCTCTTCGTCTTAATTCTTTAATACTATCACTAAGACCTAGTTCTACAGTTGCATACTCTTTGATTGCACTAACAATTACTGGCGGCGGGTAATTTTTAATCGCTTCCTTTTCCACTAACGTTCGAACATGTTCTGAACGTTTCAACATCTCGCTTCCCTCTATTGTATGAGAATGGTCAGGACTATTTTGAAATCGTTCAATAAGCACCTTCTGCTCTGTAACTAATCGTAAGACCCTGATCTTTGCATGGCATAGATTTGGTGGACGAATCTTCGTTTTTCGTCTTTTCTCACTTGGCACCCCCTCCTTACGCGTACTCGATGGGTTGTGTTTGGTAAAACGGCATGTAAAAGTAGTTATCTGATTACCATTATTATGGTTTCTCGAATTGTACCTGGTCCAAATATTGGTAACGAGAGGCCACCATTCGCTATCAAAATCATATATTGAAACCTCAAATGATTGGCCAATATTAAAAAGAAGCGCACGCCTTTGATTAGGAGTAAGTTGAGATGAATCGTATGTTTGAATTTCATTGTTTGTTGGAGTTATAATCTACCGTACATATAGTATTTATATAAGTATGATACTATACTATATTAGATGCGAGAAAAAAAAATATAAAAAAAAAAATCCACGCGATTAATATAGTGTCTTACGTACCGTAGATGTTTCTATCAAGTTTTCTTTATCACTTTCTATTTCTAAAATCTCGACTATACTGTCCATTTTATAATCAACGTTGAAAGCAGGCAAGTTTTATTTTTAAAGAAAAAAAAACCGTATTCGTAGTGATTAGTTTTTTGTATAAAAAAAAAAATACGTCAATTTTCTTTCTTCTATTTTTTAAATCCTTGGCGAAAACAAGTTTTAAAAAAGCTATTTTTTATTATAATTCATCGTCATTGAAAAAAAAATTTGTCGAATAAATATATATATATTTTTTATCACGGGATTACCCGGTGATCGTCGATCATCGGGTAATCCCGTGATGTACCTGGCTTTAACCGCCCCCTTAATTGGGGAACCTTCTTCTATATGTACTTCATAACACACAATTGATATTTGACCCAGTTCATATAATTTATGTGCAAAAAGGTCTTTATATTCACTTAACATTTCCTTCATATTACTGTTTTGCTTTTTGGTTATTTCACTGATATTTAACTCAATGCCCGAACTTGTTATATTGTTTAGGAGATATATCGCCCAGTCATCACTAGATTACTTCTTTATAGCCCAGTTAACATTATCATGCTCTTTTTCATACACATTGACATTTGTATCTTTCGCTTGAACTCGATCTCCAATATGCGGCAGCTTACAATATTCAGTGGTGATTTTTATTTCTTTTTCACCATCCATGATTATAAGTTTGCAAAATTCTCAATCTAGTTTAGCCCTAGCCTTCTTCATCCAATTGTTTCTAACGATCATGGCATAGTTGGCAGCATCTGTAACAACAGCTTTAGAGGCGATTGTTTTTCCACCCACAGTCACTTAAAATAATTGACTTCATCTAATGGCCATTTTTGTTCACAATAGATCTCAGTCATTAATACAGTTGAGGGACGATCGATTGCAATTCCAGCCTCTTTCAAGAAACCTGCTAAAATAACACAGCTAATGATCCACTATCCAAGATTAAGATGATTGGTATATTATTTACCTTAGCTTCACAATACATGGACATCATATATTCGTTATTCGTATGTCCTAACCTAATATTGATGAACTTAAATTTGGCTGTTGTCCAGGGTGCAACAACTTGAGCACCTCTTTTCTAACACTTAGCACAGCTTTGAACAGCTAAGCATACATTATATTGGCTTTTTTTCTTTGAAAATCTGGCATAATCGAATATAGCTATATGCCAGATATTACAGGTGGGTCAACAGGTTTAGTCTTTTTTTTTCTTCTTAACTTTTGTTTTACTCATGAGATCTGTCTTTTCGACCTGAGCTTTCTTGTTCATATAATTTGTTTTTCTAACAGCTTCATTACTAGGTAGGCTCCAACTTCATTAGGATGGTCATTGTCCTTTTATTATTGTTTTGTCATATAGGCTTCTTCAATAGTTCTTATTAAGAAATTTTCTGACATTGACGCACACTCATCCTTAAAAGATGTGTTATTTAGTTCAAACGCCTAAACGTATCTTTCTTCTAGGCTAACATAGCCTGGGCCCTAGGATTGTTAATCGTTAGAGTATTATTGCCATTTTTACCACAATCCTGATTATCATAATTCATAGCTTAAAGGATGTTCCTTCGGTCATCGCCATGTCAAACTACATTCGGGCATTCTCTTGTATAATGACCTGTTGCTTACATGTGAAACAGATAGGTCCACAGCCACTTTGTTCTCTATGGTTATCATTATTAGCAGGGTGACTATTACTATTATTATTGTTGGCACCAGCTTTGACCATCATTACCACTTCTTGTAACAGAGAAATCATTTTGTTCATAGCATCTGGTGACATATTATTCAACAGTGAGTTCAGTACTGATAGTTGCAACAGAAACAATATAGATGGCTGCACTGATACTTGAGGTTGCAATAATTGTTGCTACTTTTGTGGCATCTATTTTTGTTGCGGTTGCTATATCCTTGTTGTGGTGGTTGCTGCATCTATTGTTGTGGCAGTTGCTGCATCCATTGTTGTTGTGAGTGGGGTGGTTGAAGCGAAGAATCCAACATATTACTATAAATCACCACAGGTTCACAGGTAGCCAAGTCTCTTGCGAATGTTGTTTTGCATGTTCGGGCTAGGTCAATTGCTCCTTGTAACATACTTGGCATAAATGGGCTAAGGGTCATTAACAAATCAGGATGAAGACCTTGCACAAACATTTGTGCTTTCACTATTTCCAGTATTGATTACCCACTTTTATTACTCGTCAAAACAAGGTCAATATATCTGTTGTATACTGGTTGACTGTTTCTCCAACCCATTGCTTCCTCGACAAAAGTTCAGCATTCCACTGTATTATCAAAGCATGTGTACAAAAATTTAGCAAAATTGATGTACAAAGCTTTGATCAGAGTTGTATTCATTATCCCAGTATTGTAGACCTGATCTTTTTATCCTTTGACTTTCCCACCAAAAAGCCACAAGCCCAGAAAAATAAGCACTGATAACTGACAGTCTTCTTGTTCCTACTACATTGTTAGCTTCAAACACCCTATCGACAGCTTCTAACCACTCTATAGAGTCTTGATTATCATCCGTAAAGACTGGTATGTGTACAAAATGGTGTTCTTTTGGCTCAGGTTGGGCTACTTGTTGCTTTGACATCAGGTTCATCATGTGCTAAAGAAGTTGATCCCAGGATGGTTGAGCATGGGTTTGGTCCATTGGAGGATCAAGAGTATCCAACAGGGTAGGTTCTTCCAACGGGTGATCATCGCTTTGCATATGTGCCGTGTATCCTTCCTGCCTATTATCGTTCGTTTGTTTCATCGGACATCCCCAAGTATTTGTTCTGTTCGTCCTATTCATCCTATTCAACATATACTTATCAACTTGATTCCAGGTTATTTAATTAATTCGTTGGTTCCTTTTTGTTATCCTATTGTTCGTTTACTCAGCGTTTTTATTTTCTGACACTTGGTTTCAGGCGTTCGTTATTCTTTATTGTCCTTACAATTTATCTCAACAGATCTTTGTTCCAATTTCCTCTTGACTTATTGTTAAAATTTGCTATGCTAATCGACTTTCGTTCTTTATTAATTTTTATTCGTCCACATAACACACTTAATTAATACAGTTTTTATTTTGCTTCAATCCACACAATCGGCACCATAAATGTTACAGTCAAGAGAGAGACTTTTGATATACGTAGCCAATTTAGCAGAGGACTGTAAGCATTAATAGAAATGAACTGAGTGCTTTATTATCACAAACGGCACCAGTAAGTATCACACAAATATCCTTTACTATGTGTCCCAGACACACTAATAGTACTAATACACTTATTTCCCTAACTACTT